TAGAAGGAAGGATTGGGGATCAGGATGGCACATCATTTCGGTTTCAAACTTTTTCAAATATAGAGAAAAGTTCGACTTCTCAATTCTTAAATTAGGGATTTCATATTCGTATTTTTAGCATCAATTCAGCTCTCTTTCCAACTTCGTCAAACTCCCAACCTCCCCATTGTCTCTGTAAATCAAAATACTGACTCGGAGATAATTATCGGAAAAATTACAGCACACACATATGGCAATATATATATTTATATATATATTCCTTTTTCCCATACAAGGCAATGGAAATATATATACATAGTTATTTGAGTTATGGCAACAAAAAAAAAGTCTGTAACAAAGGGAATTTAAACGATTTGATCATATCTATATCTATAATCTATATCTATAATTTTATATATAGTTATGATATGATAACACTGCTGTTATTTAACTCCCTGATAACAATTTATAGTAAAAGAAACTAGTTCTCCACGGTATGGTAAATCAAAATTTAAATTTCTATCAAAAAAGATGCATGCATTTAGTGATAAATAGTGTCTTGAACAGGATTATCTTTAATAAGAATGAAAAAAATTCATACCTGAAAAGTTATATTACATGCTCCAGTAATTAAATTCAAGGATAAAATTATGTGAATTTTTGTCATACATTGAAGGATGGAAATTTGATGTGCAACCCTTAAAAGTTTCATCCTATGTCTTTGTTTATTATTCACATAAGGAATTAAATAATTGAGAGAATCAATTATTCAGATTCACGTGCTTGTTTAAGAATAAGAAATTAGAAACTTCTTTAAGTTTTTACCTAATGGTGGGTTTGGTTCGTAGAACGGGTAGGAATATAATGAGATTCGAAATGGAATGGAATGTAATATAATAGTGATTATGATGGGTATGTTTAGGATGAGTTTAGATAAATACATTTATATATATAATTAAATATAAATAAATATACAATGATCAAAATAACCATATTAAATAAGAAAATTCCAACCCTTTCATTTTCTTTTTGTAGTCTTCGATGCCTCATGCCTCCAAAAGAGACCGTGGGACGAAGAGGTTTGTTTACAGGGAAGCGTCGCTAGAAGAGGACGGACGGGTGGTCAAGTGGAGGAAGAAAGAAGACGGGGATAAAATAACTAACCAATTGTTTATTAGTTAAGATGATAAACGATCTCATCTATATATACAAAAAAAAAAAAGAACATAAATTTAAATCTTAAAAAATATATTTGTTAGAAAAACTTTAACTTTAATGCTAATGGCTCGGCATATATTAGCTTTAAGTCCAAAGTAATTTCAGAAGACTTTGAATTTATACAAAAAAAAATATTATTCACTTTGTTTTTTATATATTTTTTTTAAAGTGACCTCCACTGTAATTACACTTGTTAAATTATTTTTGTTCTAGTACATTTGATTAACAAGGGTATTTTAAGAAAAACAATACCCATTTATTACAAATAATTAACTTAACTAATTTTTTTAATATTTATAAATTAATTACTTAATTCTTTTATTAAGCAGTAGATGCAACGTACTTTGCATGAAGACAACTTGAAAGAGGATAAGCGGTTTGAGTTGTCACGGTGCTGGAATGGTGCTGCCGGGTGGATAACGATGAGCGTGAAGATAGAAATAAATCTTACTTTTAAACTGCTCATGTAAAAAATTTAATAATATACCCATGTACATTTTAAAACATACTACCTCTAATTCTAATTATAAGACCTTGTTTGTAGTGAGGTAATATTTGACGATATTTTGTTATTGCACGTGCCTTAGCTTGTCTTATGTATATGAAATTATATGTTTTACTATTTCAACTAATATATTCAACAATTAATATTGGCATAATTATTTATTATAGGAAAATTAAGACAATTAATTATTTGATAATTACCTGATAAATCAGGTAAATTTTAAAATATATGTGATCCTGCAGTTGACAATTAGGAATGATGTACTTTTTTATTTTAATAGGATACATAATTTAAAATAAAAATAATATTATAACTGATATTTGTTATATCAAGTTCTTTATATTTATTATATCAAATTATTTAATTATCCACGGTCATATACTTTAAAAAAAGCATACATAGCCATGTGCAGCCATGCGTTAGTGAAAAACTTGATATAAGTATCATTTTTATTAAATAATTAAAAAAATTATACAATAAAAATTTTAAATATGAACTATTCAAATTAAATTTTAAGTGATTTAGATTTGATATGCTACTAAGCAATTGATTTAAAACTCAGGGATTGTTACATTTTATCCTAATTATAGAGATGATTGAAAGGATGCAATATATATATATATATATATATCGACCATTGAAGGAGGAGAAAAGGAAAAATTACATTATCTCAAAGGGAAAAAAATAATTAAAAAATCTTAATAACAACATGTAGGTTGTTGTCATTTTCTGTGCTGAAACAGTAAAACTTACTATTACATGTTAGTTTACTATTATTAAAACCTCTTAATAATTATGTTGCTTCTTTAGAATTCAATAACAACTCTCCCGAGGAAAAAGTATGGGTGGTTGGACGTCTTCCGTCACTGTGATTCCATGAGTCCGTGAAAATGAAACTTTTATATTAGAAGAAAACAAAGAAAGAGAAAATACTAAAATAGGGACATTAAAATTTTGAGTAATATTTAGAAATATTGTCACATTCACTCAAAAAAGGTCAAAAACAAGAGAGAGAAGGAAATATTTTTTTTTTAAAAAAAAAAGATTGTATTGATAAGACGTTGCTCCGCAGTCTGCGCCCTAAACCAACCCGTGTTCGGGTACCTGGGGGGTTGATGGGCCCCACTGTGCTATTTCTGAAACGCGATGCGTGCCCGTGAGTGAACCCTATTTCCTGTGAATAATCTGGGAGACGTAACAGCAGCGTCTCGGACAAATTACTTTCAATAACAACATACCGCTGTTGCGGTTTTAATTATAAGAACTAGTTAATTAAATTAAAAAGATTAATAAAATAAATTAAATTAGTTATTTGTAATAAATATGTGTTGTCTTTTCTAAAATATCTTTACTAATTAAGTGTATTGGCTAGAACTACCATTATTAGAATAACTATCTTGGAAAATGGCATACATAGGTTCGGTTTTGCTCACTCCTAATTATAGTCCAACAAGCAAGCCATGAATAGATAGTCGAATCAGTAATAGTTCTCATAGGGAATGGTGAGCGAAGGGAGTGGAGACAAGGAGAGCGACGGCGGTGAGGATGGACGGCGAGGCAGTGGAGGCATGGTGTTTCAAAGCGAGCGAGGACAGGAGGTGCGGCGGAGGATGGAGGATTCAAGTGATGGAAAGCAAGGGATGAGGGCGAGATTCTCGTACAAAGACAAACTCCTTAGCCTTGGAGAATCGGGCTTCCTGGAATTGAACCTGGCGGCAATGGACGCAATGAATGGGTGGCGGGAGTATTTTGCAAAAATGAGTGGGGAGTCAGCAGAACAAGGAAATGGAGAAGAGGCTGGGGTTGAAGACGAGGTAGAACATTGGTCAAAGAGTGGGAAGTACCCCAAGCTGAGGGTATCTGCGGAGGAATATGCAACTTGGTGCAAACCATATGCCAATTCGCTATTTGTCAAGCTGCTAGGGAAGAACATGAGAGTGGGGTTCATGCGGGCAAGGATGGAAAAGATGTGGTCCCCCAAGCAACCCATGAAAGTGACCCCCCTAAATAATGGCTACTATCTGGTGTCGTTCTCATCTGCAGAAGATCGGGACTATGCACTCCAAGAGGGTCCCTGGATGATTGATGACCATTATCTATTGGTGCAGAGGTGGCGGCCAAATTTCAACCCCTGGAAGGCAGACCACCAAAAGAGAATTGCAGCGTGGATCAGGATACCCGACCTACCACCGGAGCTGTACAATATTGAGTCCCTACGAAGAATCGGGAGCTTGGTCGGACGTACGCTCAAAATTGATAGAACAACAGCATTCTCAGAAAAAGGGGGCTTCGCGAGGATCTGTGTTGAGCTTGACTTGCAACAACCCTTACTCCCAGCGTTTGACCACTTTGGAGAAACTCATAAAATTGAGTATGAGGGTTTGCATCTAGTGTGTTTTCACTGTGGCCGGTATGGGCACCGATTAGATGCGTGCCCCGAGGAGAAGCATTCACACCAAGGGGAGGGGAAGGATGGTGGCGACCGTCAGCCGGAGACGACGCCGTCCGACAAACCGACGAATGGGAATACAGGAAAGGAAAAAACCGAAAGCGCAAGTGACGGGATTCAAAGCGGATTATTCGGACCCCAAATGCTGGTAAAACGAGATTTGGGGAGGAGTTATAACGTCGCGGATATGAAGGGATCAGGAGAAGGTCAGAGTCAACAACGGAGAGAAAATTTTCAGGGGATTGCCAAATCAGGATATACTCCACGTGCTCAGAGGGATAAGCCTAAAGGACCAAGAGGGCAAGACAAGCAAGGGACCGTTGGAGAACAAAGGATCTTTGGTGTGGATTTAAGCAACCGAAAGGATCAAGAGTGGGTCCTAGTTGGTACGAAACGCAAGGCCGTTGGGAAGAGGAAAGCTAAAGGAAAGGAAAATATGGGAATCAGAATTCTGACACGTGGAGAGCCCGTAGATAATGCTGCAGTGGATCCTCATTATCAAAATCTCAACCCCTTCTCAATTTTGGACAGAACTGATGACCACGAGACAGACGGGTTGGCAGTAAGTCAAGGCCCAACCCAACTAAAAGCCAATCAAGACACCGTTCAGGGAGAACCAAGTGGGGCCAAGCCAATGAATGAAGATGGGGGGACGTATGGACGATACGAACTGGACCTAAATGGGCCATCAACTCTCGAAACAGCAAGAGAGGAACAAGTGGATATGGTGGATATTAGCCGAGAGGCCACCTCAGCTCCAGAACCTGTCTCTCAATGAATGTGATCCTATGGAATACACGTGGGACGGGTGCGCGCTCGTTCCCGAAACTTATTAGGGAAATCAAACACATGTACCAGGTTGATATGCTAGCCATTTTTGAAACTCGAAGCAGTGGGGTAAAGGCAGAAAAAATAGCCAATCAATTAGGATTCCCATATGTAGAAATTATAGACGCAGAAGGCTTTAGAGGGGGAGTATGGTGCCTTTGGACTGAGAAGGTTGGGAGGGTGGAAGTACTAGTGAAAAACCCACAATTTATCCACCTCAGAATTTTAAATCATCAACGACAATTCTGGGAGCTTTCGTTGGTTTACGCCAGCCCAAACCCAATTATACGTCGCGGACTGTGGAGGGACCTCGAGACGCTTAGCCAACATATTCAGAACCCTTGGTGTATAGGGGGTGACTTAAATGCAATCTTACTAGGGAGTGAACGACGATCAGGCAGGGGTAGCAGTGGGCCTGACAAGGAGTTTCAACGTTTTACTTTAGAAGTTGGACTCAATGATCTGGGTTTTGTTGGACCACCGTTCACTTGGAGACGAGGCGATGTGGAGAGCAGAATTGACAGGGTGCTTAGTTCGGACGCATGGAGTGATTGCTTCCCCAACGCAAGCGTCACGCACTTACCATGGTTTAAGTCGGACCACAGAGCACTACTACTATCGCTAGATGGTTTGGCACCACGAAGAAAGCCTGACAGACCCTTCCGTTTCATTGCTGCGTGGGTGTTGCATGAAAACTTCACAGATTTGGTAAAACAGCATTGGGGTACAACGGATTCATGGAGTGAAAACGTGGCTCACTTCACAGAAGCATGTCGTGACTGGAACCGAAAGGTTTTTGGACATACGGAACGGAGGAAAAGACACATTATGAGACGACTTCATGGTATCTCAAGGGCGGAATCCCGCTACGGATTGACACCTGAACTCGAGACTCTACAAACACAACTTTGGCAGGAACTTGAGGAAGTCTTGGTACAGGACTCCCTGCTATGGGCTCAGAAAGCTCGTACTGACTGGGTGGTGCATGGAGACCGCAATACGAGGTACTTTCATGCTAGAGCCAATGGAAGAAGACGACAAAACCATATTGGGGCCGTTAGAAACTCCGAGGGTGTCTGGGTATATGAGCCTGACTTGTTAAAAAACATGGCAACAAATTTCTTTTCTGCGCTTTTCACTGATGAAGGGATCAATAGAGCGCCTCTGTCATGCAGTGTTAAGTATCCCCCGCTTGACTCGGTATACCTTAGAGCTCTCGAAAAGCCGGTGGAAAACGTAGAGATAAGAGACGCAATCTTCAGCATGGGAGCTCTGAAGGCCCCGGGGCCGGATGGTTTGAACCCGTTTTTCTATCAAAACCAATGGTCACATGTTGAACACTCGGTCTACAGTAAAATTCGAAGACTGGGAGGAACCTACGGAGATAGAAAGTGTTAATGGTACTCTTATAGCCCTCATCCCGAAGAAAGACCACCCGGAAGAATTAAAGGATCTCCGGCCCATTAGCTTATGTAACGTGATCTTCAAGTGCCTAACCAAGGTCCTTGCGAATAGACTCAAGACTTTCCTACCACAAGTCATCAGTCCGAATCAGTGCAGTTTCGTACCGGGCCGACATAGCTCCGATAACATCATTGTCGCCCAGGAAGTCATCCACTCCATGCGAAACATGAGCGGCAAACGGGGATATATGGCAATTAAAATTGATTTGGAGAAAGCATATGATAGAGTTCATTGGGGTTTCTTAAAACAATGCTTGCATGACCTACACCTGCCCCCCAAGATCATTGACATTATCTACAACTGCGTGACCTCTCCGTCCATGCAACTCCTGTGGAACGGGGACAAGGCAAAGCAGTTTAGACCGTCCAGAGGAGTCCGACAGGGAGACCCTCTCTCCCTGTATCTCTTTGTTATTTGTATGGAAAGGCTGGCTCACTTGATTGAGGAAAGAATCGTAGCAGGAAAGTGGCGTCCTATCAGGCTGTGTAAAAATGGGCCCCCTCTATCCCACCTATTCTTTGCCGACGACATTGTTTTCTTTGTGGAAGCGTCCCTCCAGCAAGCTAGCGTGGTACGTGAGTGCCTTGACCACTTTTGCAATGCTTCAGGCCTCAAGGTGAATGCCTCAAAGACACGAGTATTCTTCTCAAAAACGTTCATTGTAACATCCTTAAAAAAAAAAGTTATTTTTTTTCAAAAAAAAAAAAATATATTATATAATATTTTATTACTATTAAATAATAATATTTTATTAAAACAAAAAAAAATGGGGAAGGGGACAACACGTTCAGCTTTCCACCGAAAGCTGAACGTATTGAAGAGGAAGAGGAATTTGGGGGGGGAGTTTTTGACTGAAGGAAGAAAAATATGGAGGGAGCATTAATGAATGAAGAAAAATTGAGGAAGGACGGTTGGCAATTTGAAGAATAAAAAGAGAGAGTGATCGCAAAGAATGGAAAGAAAGAGTGAGATGCGCAGAAGGAGAGATTGAGAGAAAAGAAGAGAAGTGTTAGCAGTTTGAAGAGTCATACAAGCTTTGGGGATCATATAGGTACATTAAACACTTCTTTCTATTAAATTTTTCCTTATGAATATTTCCTACATATTTAGAGCTTTATATTAGTAGTATCATTATAATGTTTAGAGAAAATTTTGTGATCTGGGTATAGAGTAAGTATTGAGTTTTGAAAATATTTGACCGTAGAAATTTAAAGATTTATTATTAAGAAATTTTAATCGGTTTAGATTTGTCCATTTATTACCCATGATATTTAAAACAAATTTATTTTGTTGAAAAATCTGTCACTTATGATATATATCATATTTATACCGATTAAAATTAAGTTAAATAATTTATTTGGATTGTTTGATATATTATTGAAATTTTAATCGGTTTATAGTTGTTTATTGATTGTTTTGAGAATTTTAAACTAAGATTTTAGTTGAAAAATGTATTATTCAAGATATATAGAATGTTTTTACCGATTAAATTTAAGTTAAATAACTTATTTGGTTACTTAATATATTATTGATATTTTAATCGGTTTAAAATGTAAAATAGGTTAAGACTATATTATTAGAAAAATTTTGAAACTGGAAACTTAAGTTATAAATTGAGATTCTTACAATATTAGATAAAAACAATATTTTATAAATATTTATAATTTAAATGAGTTATTTGGGTAGAGAAAAATTGTTATTTGAAGTAAGAATTTTTGGATAGTAAATATAAGTATAGATATTATTAATAATAAATTCTATGTAATTTAAGTTAATTATTTGTATGTATATTAAATTGTATCTATATTATTTGTAGATTATCTTGTACTTCGGAGTTTGTAATTTGCGCTCTTATTTCTCAAGCTGTGAGGTTAAGCTTGGAGTAGAGGTAACCGGGGTTAATTTATTTTATATACACGCTTTGGATTGTAAGGTGTTTATTATGTTTTTATTTTCTTAGTTAATTTGTAAAAGTATGCCTGTGAATAAAATATATTTTATTATATGACAAATTTTGGTGAAGTGGGAAGTATGTTGATCTAATTATGTTTGAGTTGTGTTTTATTGGAAATTGTGTTTTCGTGTAGTACTGAATTTAATATACTAGTATTATGTTATTAAATGAAATGAAAATGTGTTATACTTTGTTTGAAATTATATCATCTTACTTTGAAGATTGTGATATTTTGATTTATATTGTGACTATGCATGGGGTTCATATGTGGAGGATGGGATTTTGTTACGTGGAGGATAATTGTTCTTGAAGCCCGCGCGGCATGCCTACACTACGGATCCCAGTGTTTGGCCTTATTGTTAGACCCCTGTAGTTCTTCCTTTTCCTTGGCCTGGAATTGAGAATGAACTCTTGGGTAGACACATCTTGCACTATAGTCCATTCTTGGGCGGTGTAGGTACAGGAGGGGGCCCGTTGCTTGATGTGAGTGGGGTGACCTTTGGCCGGGTTACTCAGCACAGAAAGCCCGGGTCCTTGTCAAGGAGTCATAAGGAGGAGCAAGGTGATGGGAGGGCATATTTCATTGTGTTGTTGCATATATGTACTTTTATATGAATTGTGTTGTGGATGGAGAGATATACTCTTTTTATGTGATTATATCTATTAAAGTACCATTTATTTCTTAAACTATATTTAAGCACTACTTCACCAACTTGCCATCCTACTTGTATATGTCATAAATTAATACTTGGTTACTGGGACTTTACGTCTCACCCCGCTGTTCATCAATACTTTTCAGGAGAGCCATCTAGTTTGGCTCGGCGCGAAGGAAGCAACCAGAGGCATAGGCGAGCATAGCCTAGTAGTCCTCTTTTGGTTTAGGCATGTAATGTTATGTATATTGCCATCTTAGGGCCCACGACTGTGTTGACATATACTTTCTTTTGTTTGGATGACTGTATTTGATGGAATACTGTTAAAATGGCTGCAGGCCATAAGACTCTGCTGTGTGCGATGTATGACTTATGGGCTGGGTTGAGCACCCTGTGTTTCTTGTGCCCTAAGTCTTTGTGGGATGAATATTATGTTGGGCTTGTGGGCAGTTATTGTGCCTTGAGGTTTTGTTTTACATTGTTAAACCCATGGGTGTTTTATGCATCCTGAGCTACTTGGGACGTTTTTGAAATAAGTCAAACTCTTTATAACCATGGTAGTATTTTAACACTCTAACTCAATTCTTTTTTCTACCATGGTTATCATTTTAAAAATGGTTTTATAATTATATATTAAGAAGAGGTCTTTTCATTCATCACGCCCGACGAACGGAGCTAAGCAGTGAACTCGGTTTCCAAATGGCCGCTGAACTGGGAAAATATTTGGGTGTACCCCTTCATCACCAACGAGTCACCAAAGATACATTTCGGGACACTGTGGAAAAGGTACAACAACGTCTTTCAACGTGGAAGAGCACTGCCCTCTCACTGGCTGGGAGAACAACACTTGTAACCTCTGTTACGGCCACTATACCTGGCTACACCATGCAGTCCTCTCTCTTGCCAGTTAGTACCTGCGAAAAGCTAGAGAAATGGAACAGAGATTTTATTTGGGGGTCAACAAGAGAAAAGCGGAAATCACATCTAGTCGCTTGGGAAAAGGCGTGCACACCAAAACAGAGGGGAGGCTTAGGTTTAAAGCACCTGAGACTCCAAAATCATGCTTATATGGCCAAGCTAGGATGGAACCTGATCACGAAAAAAGACGCTCTATGGTCACGGATTATACGAAGCAAGTATAAGTGTGGGGATGACCTTCTCCCATCAATTAACCGAGAACTTACGGGATCTAACACGTGGGCAGGAATCAAGACAGCCTGGAAATACGTGCAGGAGGGATGTGAGGTAGACAGTGCCACTCAGTCTGTACGCTGGAAACATGACCGACAGGGGGTCTTCACAATAAAATCCGCATACAATATCATAGCTAAGGCCGAAGGAGAAGAAGATGGAATCTGGCAGAAAGCTTGGAAACTGGAAACCATCGAACGGTGCCGCTCATTTGCATGGTTAGCACTGCACGACAAATTACTAACAAATGAGGAGAGAGCGAAGCGACATATGTGCGACACAACGACATGTGAATGGTGTAAGCAGGAGGTAGAGGACCTGATCCACGTGCTACGGGACTGTCGTGATACTAAGAGGCTATGGACGAGACTCGACGTCATACAGAATGACAGACGATTTTTCGACCTCCCACTTAAAGCCTGGCTCAAACGAAATATCTATCACAGAGAATGGGGCGGACTCTTTATCACCATCTGCTGGCTCCTGTGGCGACGCCGAAACGAAAGAGTCTTTGAAGGAAAGGATAGAAGCAATGACAGTGTGTATAAGCAAGGGATGTCGATTGTTACAAGTTTGAAGCAGTCCAAAACAAAGCTAGCAGGGGTAAGATTAAATGGGTGCACTGTCACTGATCGGGAAGCACGGTGGAAGCCACCTCCGAGAGGTTGGGCAAAAGCAAATGTGGACGGGGCATACTCGAGATGGAAAGGAGGTGGATGTGGGGGCTTGGTGCGAGATGAGAAGGGAGCTTTTATCATGGGATTCATGCACCACCTTGACCATGGTGATAGCCTCTCTGCTGAGCTATGGGCGGTTCTGCTCTGTCTAAAAATAGCTTGGGACCATGGTATTCGACAGTTGCATGTTGAGACAGATGCTGCGGACATTCTTAGGCTTACAAAGTGCACTACGGGAGCTGGTCACCCCGATGGAGGTGTGATAACGGAGATAAGAGGTCTCCTGGAAAGAAGATGGAATGTGGTTCTGATGCATGTGCCCCGTGAAGCAAATGGGGCAGCTGATTGGTTAGCAAAGAAAGCTTTGGAAACACCCCCTGGACTTCACACAATTCTAAACCCCCCTGATGAGTTACGCACTTTGCTGCAACAAGACATCGAGTTGGACGCCGACGTAGG